ACTAGTCATTATATGATCATTGTTTTCATTTTAAAGGCTGCAAAAGCATGACGTTCATTGAATCAGAAAATTTCGGGGTGCTAAGAGATATGTGAGGTTATCTAAAATCTAACCTTGCACAATATCCTAAAACCCCTTCTTCAAGTAGGACTTGCTACTGTCTGAATCTTAAGAAAGTGATATCTGCACAGGTACCAGGCACACCCTCGTATGACATCTCAAGTTGTGCATCACCAACTTCAGCAATGTCCTGGTAACAAAATGCATCCTTGAGTTCAAAAACAAAGTCCCCAGGGCCATCGGAGTTTAAAGGTTCACTCAAGAAGAATGACTGTCTACCATCACGAAGGCACCCTGGGACCATTCCACTGGCTTTCCATGGCCGCACACACTCATTCTTCTTTGAAATGCAGGTGGCAGGAGGAATAAGACAGCTTTAAACAGCCTCGACACGGAAAGCTTTATTCAACACAATTCAACAAATGAAGTTAACCACAGTCATTTTCATCCACTACCACAGCCAACTATTTTGTGCTTATACTAGTTTCATCTTTGTAGAGGAAATATTTTCTTAAAAAAGTTCCAGCACCAATTGTTGGAAGACCTGTGGCTTCCCGGAACATTGATATTTTAATCGCCATCTCTAACCCCATGCAGGTAACAGAAACACGGCAAGCACAGTGGACGTAGTAGGAGAGTGTAGAGAGATGCCTGTCCTTCCTACTTGTACAAACTCCCCACCTGTACAGCCTCCAAGAAACAACGCAGCGAGGCTGGCCATGGCCACGAGAAGCACAATGCTCCCAGAGTTTGCCTGAAGTCTCTGCTAATTTCTCCTTACCTCCGTAACCCTGCATATGGAAATCAAACGGTTGTGAAAATCAAGAGTGAAATTGAAAGGGATTCCTCTGTCTGCCACCCCTTAACACTCAAGAAGAGAAGTGAGCCCAATCCCAATACTGCCATTTCAGTAAATCTCACAATAGAGGCTAATGCGAAAATATTTGATGATATTCAAATATCATCTGTGTGTTATCATTTTACTCAACACCCAAAACACTACTGAGTCTGCCAAGCAGATTATATAGCTTGGCAAACTTTCATTTCATGAATGACACTTAATATGAAATAATTTTCACTGACAAATAAGATAACAGTGATATCACAGATCCTGAGGTGGTAACAGAATAAATCCAGGCATCCCATACAATCATTACCAACTAACCTCAAACACCTCCGCGCAAATGTTCCTATAACTCATAAGGAAGAGGGGGCCCTGGCTTGTAAGTAACCACTCAAAACATCCTTTTTCCTTCCCTCATTATAGACTGGTCCAGGGCTGCTTCTTACTTATGGCGGGTCCAATCTTTTGCGATATACACTGTTGGCTCATTCGACTACATTGTATTACATACCTTTTTCCTCCTCACTCTGAGCACAAGCACCTTCTTAAATTGTCAAGGCAAAAGTTCTCTCTTCAGCCAAGAGGCTCCAAGACTCTGCAAGCAATTCCCTCAGGCCTTCTTTAGAAGAGTATTCTGGGCACTTTAAAAGCAGTAGTTTTCAAACGGTGTTCACAGGGGTACCCGGGTTCTAAGGAGGCCCTAGGCACAGCCCAGGGGAAGACAGCAGGCTCTGGGCTCCTGGCTCCTGGTTCCCCTAAAGCAGCTGTTTTTATCCCACTCATATATTAGAGTCTTGCATAAGATTCCACGGCTGTTAAATATAAAACCAAAACGATGTCTTCAAAAAAGTGTGAAAACCATTGCAACAAATGGTTTTCTCTCTCTCAGGCCCTCTAAACACCCCTCCAGGGGCCATTCTCTTCAAACGGAGATGTATGCACTTACTTTCCTGTAAAGAAGCTTGCCCTTTTTATCTCTTCCAGAATTTGAAACATATATGCATTGAAACAATTAAATGTATTTAATTTACAAAATCCAAAAAATAACCCAGAGTTTTGCACAATAAATCTTTTCAAGGTTAAGATTTGTTTGTCTCTCATAGACTCTAAACTGGCTTTTGCACCTCACCCCCCAATATTCGACTCTCCTCCTACGCCAATTTTTCACCATCAGCAAAGTAGGCACATACCAGACATGCAGTCTTCATGGATCTTTTTCTTAAAAGCAAAGAGGAGAATGAAGCTGCCTCTCTCCCTTGACCGCTGTGAGCTAACCCAAAATCAAGACTGGCATTTGGTTAATAATCTGGACTAATTATCAGAAATTTGGTATAGTCATCCCAAAATGTCAGTTTCAGGGAGTCTGCGTGTATCTGACAACCGAAAATGAACTGGAATTTTATTGAACGTCTTGCTAATTTGTATTGGTAAAATAAGTTTGGTAAAATAAATTTGTTTTGGTAAAATAAGTACTTAGTAGTACAATGATTAATTTTTCTAATCCCAAAGTCAAAAATAAACAGAAATGCCCAAGATTTGGAGTGATTTAATTGTACTTCTCAAAAGTCTCTTTAGAATGAAGTGTTCTGAGCAAACTATTTGACAGACAATGGAGAATGAAGGCAAATTCTAGAAACCAACAAATCCCATTCATTTCCTTCAGTTTGTAAAAACAAGCAACTGACATGTTTCCTGCCAATGAACATAGTTACAGATAAGAAGGCTCCTACAGGAAATCCTTTGCTAAAAGAGAACAGTTGTGCTATTAAACTTAACCTTTTTTACCAAATCCCAATCCATTAAATATTTGACAACGTGGGATGGTGAAATATCACCCCAGAGAGGGTATATCGTTTCTAAAGTCTCTATTTCCTTTGACATAGATGGAGGATGTTAAATAAACATTAAAATATAGTTAGGATTCCTTCCATCTCCCCTTTCCCTCCATGCAATTAGTTGATGAAAACAAGAGAAATTTGCTGCTTTTTTAAAAGATCAAAGTATTAATTAAAAGAGATTTAAAACTGACCATTTTCAATTAAGATAAAGCAATACAATGCGATAAATCATCATGAGTGGAAGGAAGATATTTCTAAATGAACATCAAGAACTTAAAATTTAAAGACACCATTGACAAGATGAGAGAAATATAAGAAATGCATTGGCTTTACATTTAGAAGCTTCCACGTTAATCCCCAAAGTCCAAATTTAGGAAAAGGCCTCCTTGATTATTTTTCACTCAGCAAAGTGAAAGAGGGAGGGTTTCCAAACTTTTCTCTTTTCTTTACCCCCCTCACTGAAACCATTACCAAGATACTGAACATCATTGCAACCTTGATTTGGGGCACCTCTCAGTTACCCTAAAAACTAAAGCACTGTATCCACAAAAGAAGAGGAATTTTTCTAAGTTAACTGAATAGTAATCATCGCAGTTTTGAAATCATTCTTATTTCTGTTTAGGAGTTTTCCTCTCCCTGCTCAGCTACTGAGAACACCCTGCCTTACTCTCCCCAGAGCACCAGGGACAGTTGTCATTTATTGCTGCACATGTAGCTTAAAGCTCGGGGTTCCAAAGTGCCACAGATCTTTGAATTCAATTGCTACAGTTCAACTTTGAACCCTCTGCAAACAGAACCTCTTCATCATACCTTCCCCAAGTGACTCTTGATCCACAGGTGACAGTCTAGTCTTTAGAGCTCTCAAGAGTTTCGTTCTAACAGCAGACATACAAATCAATTTGATTCCACAATTAAATGCTCAAATACATTCTTAGCCTTTCCTTGCCCAACTCAGAGGCAGCGAATGGCTAAGTCAGCACGTGTGCTCATCCTTGCTTTAAGGTTTTTCCTCGCATATTTTCAATAAAAATACAGTTATGAAATCCAGGAGACTGAATTTTTGGTTGTTGTTGTAAAATGACCTTGATTTGACAGGCCCGGTCTCAGGTTTCAACAGATGCTGTGGGAAAGCTTACAGAAGCCAATATGTTCTCCAGGCATCTGTGATGACATGCAGGGGTTTTTTTCTTTTTTTTTTTGAAGTGGTGGTTATGGTAGTGCATGGGGGGGGGGATACTCTTCCAGGTTTCCACGACAACCATGTCTCCACTCATCGGTTATTAGATACCATCCACTTCCTGTGTCTAAATTTTTAAGCCAATCAGAAAAGTGTTTATACATTTAACAAGTTCTGGAACAGTGCTTCTTTAATTGAAGTGCTTTCAGGCTCAAATGAAGATGTCCACGGGCCTGATGTTTTTTGTCTTATAGATATAAAATTCCACAATATTTACTAATTCATATTCTTATAAGGTGAAGAATGCCCTTTTTCTTGGATGTGAAATGCATTCTCCTCAATCCAGATGCCACAATTTCTTAGAACAGTGTGTAAGCCGATTTTGATTGTTGCTCTTCATTGCCTTTTTCTTCCACTGTTACAGACTTAAATTTAGTGGGTGATACACGCTAATTCATAAGACACTGAAATTATCAACGTAAAGATACAGTTAAGCATCCATCTGCTGATGGTACTATCTAACTATCCAGATCAAAAGACAGTTAGGAAAAATTGTGCTAACTTGAACAACTTTGCATTCTACAACTCATGAGGAGAAATCCGCGAGAATGGATTGTAAAGTGATCTGTGTATAAATGTAAGCTAGTAGCTGACGTCTGCAAAGAAATTTGTCACCAAAATGGCCTACTTGATCTGGAGAGAAACAACAACAAAAAATTAAACATTGCATCTCAAGCAAGTTGCACCCGAACGAAAAATCAATCTTGCAGAAATGCATCCACGCGAAAGCTAATATGAAATTACAGCAGGATTTTAAAAGAAGGTTTTGGGTGACTGTTTTCCTAAGTCTCAATCTAACTGACCAATCAGCGTGAGAGTTCAAGTGGGCTGGAGTCATCTGTGCAGCCTTCCAGCTCTGCACTCTCTGAGCTGCTCTCCCCTCTCCAAGGCAGAGCTGGCGATCAATGAAGAACAGGGAACAAAAGGAATATAACAGGATGTCTTCCTTAGCTAAGGAAACCGATTCCCTTTTTCCTCAATGAGCCAGTCGCTCCCTGGCGTCCACATGGCAGCTCCCAGCAGATCAGTCCTTTCCGCTGAGGCACATTTTACATTTGCCATGATGTGTCCCAACTGCTAGCAAATGTGTCACCTCAAGCACATCCTGTGACAGAGGGCTCCCCAAGCCCAACCAATTGAAACTAACAAATTAAATTAATTAATAATCCTACAATTGAAAGCTGCCCAGAAAGACTGCCTTTCCCTTCCCCAAATGTCATCCCGGGAATATAAACAAAGCATGAAAAATAGTCTCTTCGGCTTCCCCAGCCAGTAATCACGGTCTTCTCCCCAAAACAAGGTTCCTCCAAAAAGAGAAATATTCTGACCGCCCTCCAAAGAAACTCTCATCTGTATATGTCACATCAGGATAACCAGTTACAGTATCTGAAAAGAGGTTTACACTGCCCACAGATTTGACACTCTGTTTATAATTGATAGCAAAACAGTTGCGACAGCAATGCTGTAAACTCTGCCCATGCCAAACTCCACATTTAACACGTTAGTGCCTTGAAAATAAAAGTAACGCCTGACGAGCCCACAAGAGTAAAGCCCGGGGAAGTAATTAACAGATTTACAGCAATTATTTGATAATTTCTTTTAATTATCCATTTGTCTGCTATTTAAAAAAATTTTTTTTAAAGACTATCCACAAATTCCTGAGAAACTTTTTTTTTTTAATGAACTTACTTTTGAGACAAAACTAATGAAAATATGCAACTTGCCATCCCTCGATCTTTCCCATTTGGGCTGCAGGCTATAAATCAATCTGAAACCAGGTGGAGATAGGGGGGCGGGCACCTTAAAAAGCAAAGGGTGCCCCCAAATGCAGCAGCCTGAACAGCGAGGGCTTCTCGTGACAATGCTGAGCCAGGGCAGAAGATCAGGAGGCAGGAAACGAGCCCCATTTTCGTTACCTTCGATCGCCGGCCCCCCCGCTGCTTCTCGCGGCCGCATCGGGGGCTGCGGCGGCGCTGCACTCGCGGTGGCCCCGCCGCCGGGTCGCGCCGTCCCCCGGCCGAGCTGCCTCCGCTCGCGGCCGGAACCCCGGCTCCAGCCCCGCGCCCGCCCGGGGTCGGCGGCGCGGCTCCCACCCGGGCCCGGGCCCTGCTGGGTCCTAGCGCGCGCCGCCGCCGCCCGCGGCCGGGCTGCAGCCCGCACGTACGGCGGGCAGCTCGCGAGCACGGTGACTGCCCGGGAAAACCGAAAAAGCCGTCAGCCTCTTTCCAAACTGGACGCTGGAGGTGCAGAGGAACTGGAGCTTAATGTCAAATCCTGGCAGAAGATGTCGAAAGAAAAACACTGGCTCCCACTGAACTCACGGAAGGCGGATGTTCGTATCTGCAGCCCCAGGGTAACGCGGCGGGCAGTAACTGGTTCCCGTAGCTTCGCCCCGTGCGCTTGTGATATTGTACGTTCACAGACGGTAAGAGAGTGCGGGATCTATAGAGACAGGTTTCAAACATATAACGCAAAAAAAAAAAAAAAAAGAAAGAAAAGAAGAAAAAAAACGTTGAAAATAGTGTTTAAAACAATGTTTTAAGCAGTTTTCCAATTATCTTTTTCCTTTTGGATTTTGCTTTCTCTTATTTTATCATATGCTATTTTAAATAACAAAGACCCATATGGCTAAACACGTAGTCATTTGATTTTCAAAAGACCTCAAGAATTGCATCAAAATATGCACTCATGTATCTCCTAAGAAATCAACGAGAAAGAATTAATGGTGGCATATGGTGTGCCTCACAGAGGAAACTTAATTACAAATTAAAACAAATGCGAAAATTCACAAATTCAGTAAACTGAAAGTAAATTATGTTCCTAGATGTATACACAAATCGACTTATGTGCAATTAGGAAAAACGTAAGTTCTAGAGTTCTCTTTTAACTTTGGACAGGGTGTTGCTTGAACCCCTATAACAGATTCCTCTCATTGTCCCCAAAAGAGCTTTCAGCAACCTCTCAGCACATTCATTTACTGCAGCCCACCTGGAAGGCAACTTTTAAACTTGCAAGTGCTCATTTAAGCGGACAATTCTGTTAGCTCTTAATTCAGAATAAAAGTGCTTTAGTTTGAAAAGCTCGTTTGAAAGGCTTCAAGACTGGGAGCTTGCTTTCAGTCTTTGATAGCACCAAGTTTGAAGGTCACAATTCTGTAAAACTGCTAATAACATGGCCCTGTGGTTTGACACTAAAAGGAAAATCAAATATGTGTTTTCTGAGTTCTATTTTTGGAGCAGAAAAAAGTCCCTTTGAAAATTACTCTTGCCCTCCTCCTTCCCGATTATAGTTAAATAAATGTAATGGAAGATTTTTAGTATTAATTAAACATCAAAGACACCCTTTCGGCTGCCTTATGTCCACACAAAGAGCTAGTTGTAATATGTTACACTTGTCAGTCTTCAAAGTACTCACGCATACGTCTCATGTGATCTTTACCATACCTCTGTGGTAGGGCAGACATTGTCATCTCCGATTTTCAAATGAGAAGGTGGAGGTTCCACAAGATAAAGTGACTTGCCCAAATTCACACAGCTGGTACACAGAGGAGCCAGGATCTGAACCTCAGTTTCCATTGCCGAGAGACCTCTGCTTTTTCAAGTGCACCATTTAGCTTCCCAACTATTTCTCTCTAACTATGGCGGAAAATGAGGTATTCCCTCCCAAAAAATGCAGGTAGGTTTCTGTGCTCATTTCTTACCTGTGTTAAAGCAGTGATTTACCAGAATGGAAGTAAGAGGCTAGTTGAAAACATTTTAGTCTCTGCTAATTGAGAAAGCTGGTCGTTCAGATTTCTGTCCCGTGGCTGTCCAGGGCACCCTGGCGGACAGAAAACTGGAAGCTCTGGGGCTGAGCAATGCTCCTGTCAACTGTGCACCTTGTCGCTCTTTATCAGAGACTAAGAACTGACTGCACTTTGTACGCGGAGGAGTGAGGTTATCTCAGGTGGAACTTGGTTTTCTATGTGCAGCCCGAGCTCTGAAAATCCTTGAAAACCCTGGGAGCTCAGGTATCTCAGATACCAGAAGTCTATTAGTGAGCTCTAGGGCGTCCCTGCCCAGCATGGTGACAATCAGGGCGTTGCTTCTCAGCCTTCCCGCACCCATGGGAAAGTCACCAGTCACTTCTGTTTGTGGCAGTCCACTTCCTCCTCCCCTCTGCCGAAAGGAAATGTGACTTCTCTGATGATGTGTCCCAGCCCCCCTAAACACCAGCCAGGTGAGGGTTGGGTGCCATTGCACTGAAAAGACAGAACCATTCTGTCCTTAGAAATGCTTCATTCCTTTTCTTGTGCAGCTCCTAAGGAAGAGGCTAAGCTTGGCAGCATCTTTGGAAGATGTGGATGACTTTCCTGGGGAACTACTTGGAAAGATTAATGCAAAACTCACTGGATGAAGGGGCTGGCCCTGTGGCCGAGTGGTTAAGATCACGCGCTCTGCTTCAGCGGCCCGGAGTTCACTGGTTCAGATCCTGAGTGCAGACCTGAGCACCACTCATCAAGCCATGCTGAGGTGGCGTCCCACAAAGAAGAATTAGAAGGACCTACAACTAGAATATACAACTATGTACTGGGGCTTTGGGGTGGGGGAGGGGGGAAGAGGAAGATTGGCAACAGATGTTAGCTTAGGGCCAATCTTCCTCACCAGAAAGTATACTTTAAAAAAAACTTTCTAGATGAGTTAATGTGATCCTTTCAGTGAAAACTGGTCTAATTACTTTATAGTCGTATCATCCATTTGGCCTTTAAATGTGACAAATGCCAGATTTGAAGGAATCTTAGCACCAATAGGAAGTGATGAGAAGCTCAAAAGAAATGCTGGTGGTGAACCATTTCTCAAGTTAGAGCACACCAGAAGAGGTACTGGTCAAAAGAAACTGTCATTCATTCATTCATTCAGTTGTGTATATCTCAGTCATCAAAAACCTGATATGAGTACAGCACTGTTCTAGGCTCTGCATATGAACATTAAGTAATGCCCTCAAAGCACTCCTTGTCATACGGAGCCCCCGGAAAGGCAAACAGTTGCAGAGCAGTGGTGTAAATACTGCAGCAAAACCATGTCACAGGTGCACTGTGTTGAAATGCCCACTAGCCCGGATCTTGGCCAGTTTGTCTTTAGAGCCGTTCTCTGCCCTGCCCTCTGCTCTGTGTTGCTAGGGGCTGACTCTAGCAGGCTGAGTTTCACAGACTCCTGAATCCATTGGCCAATGGCTGGGTATGGTCAATGGGAGGCACTGGAGGGAGAGTGCAAGTGGGAAGAAAGGAGAAGCCGGGGAATTTCTTCACCTCCCTCTTGCCTCTGGTAGCATCTCCAGTAGTGGCTGGATCTGGCTGAGGCTCCTGCCAGGTGACCCAGCCCCTGGCTTAGGTAACACCACCACTTCCTGTTAACTCTCCAGTTTAGGGATGTTAATGGCTTTCTGCTGAAATTACTTTTGGGGTAGCTTCACCTTCCTCTGTTTGCATCTCACATCCTCCATCACCTGTGTGAGCAATCCCCTGTGTTAAATTCCTTCTGTGCATATCAGCAGATTCCAAGGGAAGGGCATCTTACAAAAGGCCTGGGAAGTACTCCTCAAAACTATCTAGATCATTGGGGCTGGCCCCGTGGCCGAGTGGTTAAGTTCGTGCACTCTGCTGCAGGCGGCCCAGTGTTTCGTTGGTTCGAATCCTGGGCGCGGACATGGCACTGCTCATCAAACCACACTGAGGCAGCGTCCCACATGCCACAACTAGAAGGACCCACAACGAAGAATATACAACTATGTACCGGGGGGCTTTGGGGAGAAAAAGGAAAAAATAAAATCTTTAAAAAAAAAAAAAACTATCTAGATCATTAAAAACCAGGACATGATGGAGAAACCGTTACAGCAAAGAGGAACTCAAGGAGAAATGACAATTAAATGTATTGTATGCTGGATGGGATCCTGGGACCGAAAAAGGACATCAGGTAAAAACTAAGGAAATCCGAATAAAGTGTGGACTTTAGCTAGTAATAAAGTATGAATATTGGTTCATTAATTATAACAAATGTACCATCCATTCACAGGTATGATGTTTGTAATAGGGGAAATTGGGTATGACGCATGAGGGAACTCTCTGTACTATTTTCTCAATTTTTCTGTAAATCTAAAACTCTTATAAAAAATAAAGTCTTTTTTTTTTTTTTTTTAATTCCTTCTGTGGTAAACTTTGGAAGTGGTTTTGTTTTCCTACTGCAGAAGCCCCATGGCCTCCCTTCCCCAGCAGGGGCTAAGCCTGATCCAGCAGGTCCTGGGCTTTCTTACAGGGAGTTTAACAGTCAAGACATCAAGAAACATCCCAGCAAGGGATCGAGCGGCTCTGGGAAGCCAAGAAAAAGCCTGGATCTGCAGCCAGAATGTGGTCTGGGATGATGAGAGAAGGGTGAGGGATGTGAGTGCAGAAGCCAAGCCGGCCAGGGCGTGGAGCCAGGGTCCAGGGCAACGGCAGAGAAGGGAGCTCGCTTTCATCAGCCAGTCAGCATGACTCTGATGGTGGGGCCAAGGGAGCCTGGAGAGAAGAGGGAGAGGGGAGGAGGAGCCTGGGGAGGAGGAGCAATAATCATAGCAGCCAAGAGTCCCTGAGTCATTTTACCTGCACGTTCTCATTTCGAGTCCCTTGTAAGCAGGGTACTATTTTTATTCCCATTTTACAGATGAACAAACTTGTCGTAAGTTGCATAGGTACTTAGGGGCTCAATTACAGCTCAAATCTCAGTCTGTTGGACACAGAAAGAGGGACAAGAAATCACCATGCTGGGCAGCCTTGGAAGAAGCCATGAAACAGAATCTTCAAGGACAAGGAGGGGTTAAGATGTAAACAGGAGTGGGAAGACGGTCTTGAGCGGGGGGACGTCCTGGGCACTGGCAATGGCATGGAGGGGTGAAAAAGCGAGGCAGGTCAGAGTGCTACAGGGAGGGCAGTGTGGCTGAGACGAAGGTTTCTAATGAGGAAGTGGCCGCCGATCCTGCTGGAGATGGGGGGAGGGGGCCAGCAGCCACCTGGGCTTGTACTTTATCTTGATTGCCACACAGCAAACCCTTTTCTCTCCCTTCAGGCTTTGCTCACGTGTCCTCTTCTCAGAGTCTCTTGATCCTCCCCATCCTGCTCGACATTTTTTCTTTTCCCTTGCACTTAACCACTTTCCAGTTTACTTATTATTCATTGTCTGTCTCCCTCCACCCGCCCTCCCCCCCCCACACACGAATAAAAGTTCCACAAGGCCAGGAATTTTTGTTTTGTTCAGTGGTAGTTTCCCAGAACATGAAATAGTGTCTGGCCCATCGTAGGTGCTCAATAAATATTTTTTAATGAGTAAGTGAATAAAGTTGGTAAATAAGAAGGTATTTGTATCAGTCAGAGTTCTCCAGAGAAGTAGAACCAATAGGATGTAAAGAGGTGTAGAAAGAGATTTCTCATAAGGAACTGGCTCATGTGATTATGGAGGCTGACAGGTCCAAAGATCTGCAGTCAGCAAACTGGGAGCCCAGGAGAGCTGGTGGTGTGGTTCCAGTCCCAGTGCAGGCAGGCTCAAGACCCAGGAAGTGCTGATGTTTCAGTCTGAGTCTGAAGACAGGGAAGAACCAGTATCCCAGCTCAAGGCAGCCAGGCAGGAGAGCTACTCAACCTCCTACTCAATCTTTTTGTTCTATTCAGGCCTTCAACTGATTAGATGAGGCCCACCCACATTAGGGAGGGCAATCTGCTTTATTCAATCCATTGATTCAAATGTTAATCTCATCCAAACGCCATCAAGGACAAAACCAGATGTCTGACCAAATATCTGGGCACCCCATGGCCCAGTTAAGTTGACACATAAAATTCACCATCACAGTATTGAAAGGGACTCTGTGTTTTACAAGGATCATTTTGGGACCTGTATAGAGAGTGATTTAGAAGGGAACAAGATAGAGGCAGGGAGACTTATTAGGAGGTTATTATTATACCAGTTCAGGAAAAAATCGATACAGACCTGAAGGAAGCCATCGTTAGTGGCTTCAGATGACCCTTCACTGACCCATGGGCAACATGTGATGTTTCATACACTGAAGGTATCATACAGACACAGCTCTAGGAGGAATCATTCAGAGGTGCAGGAGTGAACAAACTGGATGACTATGGTGGGTCCTGGCCGTTGAGAAGTCCCCTTGCTGCAGGCTGGGGACAACAGCATCCTCTGGCCTCTTTAATGGCTCACTTGGAGTAAACACAAGTGTGGAGGATGGGGGAGGCTACCTGATTCTCGTTTTGGAGATTTTCCATTTCACATGATGGTCCTGGGGTTGAACTGGGGCTGGCATCTTAAAGTGTGATCCTCCCCTTCTCTAACCATAGGACTGGCCCTGGGGTAGGCCCTTGACCCCGTGCCAGGCCGATTAGAGTCCTCTGGAATTCTCTGACTGAAGCCAGGGGAAGCTGCCCTCCTTCCGCTCTAACTGCCAAGCTGGAGGGTGCTGCCAGCAGCCACATCCTCAGTTTGTGGGCTCAGAAGATGGATGACAACCCAACTATTAGTCCAATCAGGACATAAAAACATGATGAAAGCCTAATATAAACTTTGGATTATCCAAACAAACCTTTTCCCCCTCCATCATCATAAACAGTTTAGAATAGGCTGTATAGATAGCCACCGTTTATGTACACACAGAGATGCACAGAAATCCCCGCTCTGTTGGAGAGAACTCCAGACCGCTCTTTAACTTTCTAGATACAGGAAGTCTCAGGTTCCCTTGAAAGAAAGATTCTCCACTTGCTCCTTTGTATGCTTTAAATTGCCACAAAACGCCACCCGCTTTCACCCTATGAAGTCACAGACCTTAACATTCTCCGCCAAACCCACAGCCCTGCCCTTTTACGAGCACACACTTAGGAGATGGTGAAATAGCACGTGACTCAGAATCCGTTATTTTTACCCACCACTTTCTACGAGATTTATTGCCTCCCACAGATGACAGCACTAAATCATTGCTATGAATCCGTGCTCATCAAAAGGAGTGAACAAAGCTCGCTTTGCTTCATTCATATCTTTGATATTTATCACATTTACTCCTTCATTGACCAAATCCAGTAATTTGCAGATGGTCCTGTGCTGGCAATGGTGGAAGATGGGTGGCATCTCGTCCCCTTTGCTATAGGTCTACTTATTGAATTAGCTGCAATTTGTGTCCTCAGACCCATTTTCCTCAGCTCCAGCTTAGCCTTTTAGGAATTATTTATCCTGGACTCTGACTCCTGAGCAGAGCTGAATGTAGACCTTGAGAGGAGAGCTTGGGGCTGAACGCTGCCAGAAACGGTCCCGTCTGGCTCTGGGCCAACCAGCTGGCTGCTGCGCTGAAGGCCTCTCAGTGTCTCCCCACTCCCCCTTTGTCTCTCTGGGCCTCCCTGTTTCAGCTGTCTCGCCTCAGGTAGTCATCGACACTCTGCAGCTCCCCAGCCCTTTATTCCTGCATTTCAGATCACTTTA